AACTACATCCGCGTCCTGGGTATGAAGATAAACTACATCCGTGTCCTGGGTATGACGATAAACTACATCCGCGCCCTGGGTATGAAGATAAACTACATCCGTGTCCTGGGTATGAAGATAAACTACATCCGTGTCCTGGGTATGACGATAAACTACATCCGCGCCCTGGGTATGAAGATAAACTACATCCGTGTCCTGGGTATGAAGATAAACTACATCCGTGTCCTGGGTATGAAGATAAACTACATCCGCGTCCTGGGTATGACGATAAACGATATCCGTGTCCTGGGTAAGACGATAAACTATGTCCAACAGCAAGGCCTCTGATCAGGAGGTTTTGAGAAGCGTGGAACCACCTATTAATTGCTGGTGTTCCCAGGTCCGCACTGATCTGGGGTGGTAACACCTGTTGTGGTCCCAGCTATGGGCAAATACTTAACACCCAAACTGGGGTCAAAACATTATGAAAGTGTAAAAATGGGTTTTAATACTAGAAATAATTCCTAAAAAAATTATTACTAGCAATACATTTTTGAAAAAAAAAATTACCAGCAATTTATATATTTAAAAAAAATATTACCAGCTATACATTTTGAAAAACAAATATTACCAGGAAAGGAAAATTATTACCAGAATTAGATTTTTGAAGGAAAAATAGTACCAGAAAGATTTTTTGAAGGAAATAGATTTTTGGAAAAAAAATATTACCAACAATGAAAATTTTGTCTGCATTAAATAACCCTTTGAGGTTGATATGTCGTAAAACAAAAATCAAACCAAACTTTATCAGTCTTGTGTCAAACTTAACAAATTGTATGTTGGAAAAATTTCTTCACCGATGAAAAAGATTGATTGTTTTTACGGCTTATCAACCTTTTGCAGATTATTTAAGGCCATAAAATATTCTTAGACTGTAAGAAATTTGGGGAGATAATAATGGTTTTTATCATCATCACACTTCGACCTCGCGATGGTTGGTCTGAACTCCATTGACAATCCCTTTTGGTTTGGTCCTGTGTTGCTGTATCCCCAATGTCCAATCCTGAATCCCGAGCTATGATCGCTAGGAAAGTCAATTTTCGTGAGAAGACACTTCTGCAATAGGAGTAAGAATGAGACGACCTCCCCGTCCGCTGGGTGGCAGTGGCCGGCAACAGTAAACCTTTTTTTGTTTGAGCCCAAGAGAGATTGGACTCACTTCTCCGTAAATTTTGTTATGTGTTGCATAGGATCTTCAACTGATGTTCTGGATTTTTCTAACTAGATTTGTATATGTTCCATCCATAATGGTTTTACTGATACAATTCCTACTATTTAACCCATAGCTGGGAGAGAACAGCCGGATCCATAACTTCCCCAATGCTGTCTGTGCGTAAATCAATATAACGAACCCGACTGAAATTAGAACCTGTTACATACCGTACATATGAATACTAATGGATATGTCCCAATCCTCATAAGCAGTGGTTTACCTACTTCACGCCGCTGGCGAGTATTGTATTTTGTTGATGTTATAAAGATTACCATTTCTTTTGTAACCCCCGTTTTGGTTTTTCCTCATTCAGTAACCCTTTCTAGATTACAACATTATGAAAATGCATTGGAAAGTGATTTTATGATGAAAATGCATTGGAAAGTGATTTTACTATGAAAATGCATTGGAAAGTGATTTTATTATGAAAATGCATTGGAAAGGGATTTTACTATGAAATTGCATTGGAAAGTGATTTTATTATGAAAATGCATTGGAAAGTGATTTTATTATGAAAATGCATTTGATTTTATTATGAAATGGATTGAAAAGGGATTTTATTATGAAAATGCATTGGAAAGTGATTTTACTATGAAAATGCATTTGATTTTATGAAAATGGATTGGGAAGGGATTTTTTATGAAAATATGTAAAAAAGTGATTTTACTATGAAAATGCATTGGAAAGTGATTTTACTATGAAAATGCATTGGAAAGTGATTTTATTATGAAAATGCATTGGAAAGTGATTTTACTATGAAAATGCATTGGAAAGTGATTTTATTATGAAAATGCATTTATATTTTACCTGTGTTATATGAACTATGAACATTAATGGGTATGTACCAATCCTTATAAATCCGTTGGACACGATTGCAAGTGGCGGTAAAATGCTGTCTAAGTAGTGTACACTAGCAGTGGTTTACCTATTCAAGCCGCTGGCGAGTATTTCATTTTGTTGATGTTATAAAGATTATCATTTCATTTCCAACCTCCGTTTTGTTTATTCCTCATTCAGTAACCTTTTCTAGGTTACAATAGAACCTAGTTCTCCGATTTCTGATTCTAAGACATTATTCATTTCACGACTGTCACAAGGAAGCTTACAGCGCCTGATATTCCACATGAAGAAGACACTTGCGGTGACCGAAATGAGTTTCAACAGAAGGATGCCGAAAATACCAGGGATTAAACACGTGAGCAATTAGAGTTATTAGAGAACATTATACATAATATGAGAAAGAGATAGTTGAAATTTCTAGCGTACATAATGAGGACTAAGAAAATTTGACACTCACATGACAGATTGAAAACAGGAGGGACAGAAAAAAACATTACCTACCTAATGAGCTGGTGCAAATAGTTGTCAGAACAGGGATTAGGAGAGATAGCATCAAGGTGGGCTTGAGTGGAGACCGCGAAAGCATTCCTAAGAAAAATGTTTTTCTTTTCAATTTCAGTTAATGTCCAATGGAAATAAATTACGAGTTCTGAATCGCATCGGGCCCTTCGAACGTGGTGTGATGGTTACCAAGCTTGTCTCACTAGATCATTTACGAGAGAGTAGTGAGTTCAATCCTCACTGAGAGCGCATAATTACGAACTTGTGCCGCATCTGAGCTACGCCTTGAAAATCATTCTCGACGTGGTGTTATGGTTGGCAATCTTGTCTCACTAGTACATTCATGAGAGAGTAGTGAGTTCAATCCTCACTGAGAGCGCATAATTACGACCTTATGCCACATCTGAGCTACCCTTAGAAAATCATTTTCGACGTGGTGTTATGGTTGGCAATCTTGTCTCGCTGAATCAAAAATGACCGAGCAGTGAATTAAACTACGTTTAGAAATTCATTTTGTATACTTCGACATGGTGTTATCGCTTGGTTTATTTTGTTTTACGGCATAACAACACCTAAATGAGTTATTTAATACCGTCAAGATTTTTAGAACAGAATATCTATTCTTTGTAAGAAATCTATCTGTATATAAGGTTCCAATGACGTATTCTTGTAAAGCGGATTTTTTGAAGAGTGTCAAATGCATTGCCGGTAATATTTTTTTCCAAAAATATATTACAGGTATTTTTAATATAAAAACCTAATTTTATACTTTCACAGTGCTTTGACCCCAGTTTGGCTGGGTTAGCTGCTTGTCCATAGCTGGGACCCTAACAGGTGCTACCACCCCGGGTCAGGGTGGATCTGTGAAAAACAGTAATTAAGAGGTGGTTCGACGCTCCTCAAACCTCTCGATCAGAGGCCATGCTGCCGGATCTAGCTTATTGTGATACACAAGACGCCTCATCGGGGGAGTCTTACCTTTCTGCAGAGGTGCAGTCAGCGTATTCTGAAGCCACAACTGCCTGGACGGGTGATGAAATGGTTAGAGCGATGCTCTCGCAAGAACAATTGCAAGTGTGTAGTGTGTTCGATCCTCACTGGGTACTCCATACTTTTGGCCTTGTGTCACATGTAAGCTGCTCATTGCTTTCCACATATCAGTCATCGGTTGCTGTTAGCCGTCCATACAAAGAAGAATGTTTCTTGAATGTTCACTTTACGAGTATTTTCATAACTTCGGCCCGCCATTAATCCACCGATTAGCAATAGTTCCCCGAAGAAATGTCTGCGTTCACTTCCGCCCCCTCTTCTGTTTGCCGTGTCCCTTCAGGACGTGGACGATTATTGCCCCCCCCCATTTCCTGTCCTTTGTAATACTTTTTAATTTTATCTTTTCGCTCTTTCCTAATCCATGTTCTGTCAGCGTCTTCTTCTTTTATGCTCGGTGTCCGTTCAGGACATAGGCGATCACGGCCCTCCACATCTTTCTGTCCCTTCTAATAAGTTTTGTCTTTTTGTTATTTCTACCAAACCCTGTTCTGCCATCCATTTTCTCAAGCTCATCAAGTATGTTACGCACTGCTTTCCTCTTTCCCTCTTCCCATCAATCTGCCCTGTGAGTATCAGGTTCTCCAAGCCCTCCTTCCCCATTACGTGCACCAAAAATTTCAACCGTATCTTCCTGATGTTAAGTATAAGTTTTCCTTTTGTTTCTATTCTCTCCAAAGCCTTGTCTTTGCTCAAATATTTGGCCCCTGGTATCTGATCCTTTTATTCCTTTTCTTCCCTATGGGGACGATGGAGGAGATGGCTGTGAAGTCCTAGTTACGGTTTTTTGGGTATATAACACGTATAACTAGTGAGCGAGTCAGAATGACTTATTTCCCTTTATAGTCGACCAATAGAAGGTTGACCAATCAGAAGACGCCCAACATTGTATTCATAGTGTATAAAGGCGGCCATCTTGTTTCCTCCTACCGGAAGGACTAAAGGCGACCAGGAGAAGGATGAACTACACTCTGCTGTGATATCCACTGCGAACCTAAAGTACGCTTTCCTACTGTCTCCGAAATATTCACTGCCAACCTCTGGATTCAATACTCGAGGACGACCGTCATGAAAATGTCTAACAGACGAGGCCATTCGCAGTAATTGGATTTTCGCTGAAAACTCTATTATTACTATTATTATTATTATTTCTTTGAATTTTTCAGTCTGTGTGCTTGGTAACTAGTCAACAAGTATTGGTCCTGTGACTTGGTTCTAGTCAACAAGCATTGCTTCTGTGAAGCAAGAATAAAACCTTCAGTTTCAGCATTTAACCCTGCATTACGTAAGCACCTCTTTGGTAAGGGGTTTGTCTACATAAGTTTGTCTGATACGGACATTATTATTATTATTATTATTC